TTAAATAATGTGAAATACTTAATATAATTGTAAACATTATGAATGAATAAAGTGTAGAATAATATAAATAATATCATGCTTTAGTTTACTACAAACTTCCGGTCCAATCATCCTTGGGGTGATGCCTACCTTAAAATACTAGAGCTCGATGGTGTGGGTGGTTACCGAGTTCAGCTGCGATTGTTAAAGTTAACCAACTTTCGCAGTGGTCGGTCTTTGGATGGGTGACCAAAAATTTACACTTCTAGCTCCTTCGTTGAGTTCGGTCGTTAGCACCCACCAATCCGCATTGGGCCCGCGTGGTTGGTCATGGCCAAAAATTTTGTGTTACAGTGATGCGCGCGCATCTTAAAATTTCACTCTCATCATTTTTTCATAACGCGCCTGAAGAAGTATAACTTCAATAATGAAGCTACTGAAGATATGGCTGTATAGCTTTCTTTGATTAACGAGAGTTTAAAATTCTCTCTAATCTGTGGTTCATTCACAATCATCACACAGTTTCTGTTCGTGTTTGTGATCTTGTTCTTTCTCTGCTTATCAACGGTTTTCATTGTGATTTCGAATGTTGAGGAAGAAATAATAACTCAAATACCGTTTTTACAATTAGGGAACGTGTGGCTTTTAAGGGGAAAAATACTTAGCTGGCATATCAGCCATAAAACATATTTTGTTTATATTTTAATTAATGTTATAGAAACTGGCAGAGATGCTATTAAAAATTATTTTTGTAATTGTGTTGTTGGGCGCAGAACTGTAGGTTGCTGCGCTCATGTGATGACAATAATTTGGTATTTGAGCTGGGCCAGATACCAAGAAAATATAAAACCCCCTGCACAGTTTCTCGATGATATTTTAATTCAAAATGTAGATGATATGTAATATTAAACGCAACATAAAAGTACTTAAGTTGTTTTATTTCATTAATTTACCTTATCAGAATATTTAAGCTATGTCAGGAATATACATATTTCACACATTGATCAGAACTATCATGAACCTACGCAATATATTATTACATTAGAATTACCTTTTACCATTATAAACCTAATTATTACTAAGAAAATATCCTATTGGTTTTTATAAAATTATGATAATAGTTCCATGTTTCTCATAACATAGGTAAGCAGGTACCAGTTCCTTGACATGCATTTTGTTAGTGTAATTAGTGTTAGACACTTGTCAAATGAAACAAGATTGCTTCTGAAAGTCGCAATGGCATAATCATGATTTTAAAACTTACTCTTGTGCATTAATTTTAAAAACAGGCAATTATCTGTTATTTTACATTCTCTATATACCTGAATCTAATACATAATATCGGTACTTGGCTTGATTGCCCTATTTTCCTATATAAGTTATTTGGTTTTTATTATTCTAATACCTATGTGCCTATTTGCAAACATAACCTCAAAATCATTCAGTGTATATGGTTTATAGAAGTTCTCAGGAGTGGTCGTCGATAATATTCGTTTCTACGGTAATTTATATATAATTTCGAATCTAGGAAACAATTTTTTATGGTTATTGGTTTTTAGGCCAAACATGTATGGAAGCTGAGCAATCTCCTTTAACATCAGTCTGTCCTTTTCATTCTCTATAGGGAATGACAAAGATACACTGTTGTCAAATGTAAGTTTAGCTTTAGAGTATCATGCCAGAATCGACATCAATATATTATATAGGAGGGTTGGCAACCCTACATAGCATAGCCAGCATAGCGCCATAGATCAATAAAACTATTCAGATATACCTAATTGCTTTGGGAGTTGGAGATTTGTTTTCGGATTAACTCTAATGGACTCGGCTTTCGTGGTTGTGGCAACTTAAAACGAGTTAACATCTCTCTCCTCCCTCCCTTCCATTTCCTGATGGTTATGCTTCTGGCAGAATAGGAATGATGACTATTTTTTTTTCTTCGTTTATTAGGTTGATTATCAAAAAGTATTGGACACGTATTTTTTTCTTTTTCCACATAATATTAACATTGCAGAGATATAGTGATTTGAATATTCGCATGACGTCACGTTTGAGTACACTTAAATAGGGGTGTCCACTCTGAAAAAACATCGATGTATTTTTTGATTCGATACATCGCTACTATACATCGATGTCATTCGATGTATCGGAGGAAAACATCGATGTATTTTAAACATTATGTACTTTTTCTGAAAATTTATTACTAACTATATACTAAATTACTTATGTGGAAAGTGACCCATCTCAAGAGAGGTCATTCTTTCATAGTAAAAAAAAATACTCTTGAAGTTTATGAAAAGACCTTAATCCATAATTTTATTATAGTTTATATATATATCTTTCATAAAATAAAAGAATTAACTCCTTTCATAATGAGTAGGTAAAAGTAAATACAAATAAAAGCCATGTGTCAGAAAAATCTGTATTATATTTTTTTACAAAAGATCAAATTAAAAAAACACTAAATAACCCGCAAAATTTTTGCTAGGTCTGTCAAAAAAATATTAGAAATATACTTCAATCTTAGTTTCGTTCACAAAACTAAAGAAAGAAAGAAAGAAAAGTATTTAAAATAAATGTTCATAAACATAGAAACTCGTAGTTATTTTTTATTGTCACTGCACTGACTCTTGCGCAATGCTGCCAACATTGGGTCCATATCAGAGAATTCGGAATAATGATGCTTTCATAATAGTAATAAGTAAAATTTTAGTGGTCAAACTTAAGTTTTTTTACTAAGGTCGAATCAAAGAGGATATTATCACTACGTGGTCAAACTCTATTACCAATTCGATGTTTCTTTAAAACATCGATGCATCGAGTATATCGAAATCTTTTCAAAACATCGGATCGATTCGATGTTTTTCATTGCAAACATCGATGTTTTCGATGCATCGATGTATATCGAATATCCCTACACTTAAATGTGAAAATTCACTCAAAAGTGACGTCACGAGCCCCTACTCCCAAACTTTGACGCGCTATAACTTTGTAATTTTTTGATTGATTGCCCAAAGAAAAAATACGTGTCCATTATTTTTACAAGCTTTTATTTAACTTGCTATGTATGTTTGTTACGGTCAAATCTTACAACTCAATTTTAAAGCACTTGCTCTCAACCGATTAAGCTGAAATTTGATATGCTCGTTCAGTTCGGATGACAATGCATGATTAACAGTGTGACGTCATTCTAAATCCAATATGGCGGCATACCCAAAATGGCGGACCAATCATTTTTAATGCATTCCTACAATATGGGTATCAAATTAAAGGGCTTGCTGAGAGTAACTCGAAAAAAATGTGACGTCACTCTCAATCCAATATGGCGGACTTCTATTTAGAAACAGATATCTTTAACTAATTTACTTGAAATTTTCTTTTTTTCTTTTTAGCGCATTTGAATAAAAGCTAGTTTTTAAAAAGGTTTTTTTTTACCTTAATTTTATTTGATCATCTAACAGACCGACTAAATAGAATTTCGTTTACTGTACCCCGTCATCACCCCTATTATAGATAGCGTAGAAAAATAAATTGTATTGCACCCTCTATTCGTTAGGGATTAAACTTCCTTGTTTTTTCCAAAAGTGGTAATTAAAATTAGTTAAACAGTTTACAGGAAGGTCGTGTAATGTTGGTGGGGGCATAATAAATAAATATTATTTCCTTAAAGTAAAACAAAAAGGGTTTATATTAATCTAAGTTTATTTCCAACTCTCATACCGACCTAGCCTAGCCTAGCCCCACGGAGCACCCCCACTGGGGGTGCTCCATGCCTAGCCCCAAAGACAGCGCTGAAAGGCTTGTGTTATAGAATACTAGGGTAAGCTCTGAGTACTGAAACCTATGGAGATGGCATACCTACGAAAAAAACATGTATACCTAAAGTTACTAGGAAATGAAAAAGGCGTCTTTACATAGTGTTTTTTTATAGCCAGGTAGGCAAATGACTCTACCCCACTTGATGTTAAATGGTGATAAAGTCCAAACACAAAAATAGCTGGTACAGCAGTTATAAACTGCCACACCAACCATCCTCGAATTGCCGGTCTGCAAAAATGCTTCTTCACGGCTGTCTTAAAGGACCCATGATTGTAGGAAGAACTGCTCATTCCTACAATCTGGGGTCCTTTAAGACAGCTCAAAGCTCAGAAAGTTCAAATTAGACTCCTACCCCTGCGGGTAAGAGCTTAATTTTGACGATTGAGAGGGATAAAAGCGCGTTATAATAATCGTATCGCGGTGCTCATACTTGGGGGGTATTTCTTGAGTAGGCGACACCTTGAAACCTGGCGTACATACCACTCGGCCACGGAGGTCGTTAGTTCTTTGTCTTAGGTTATATTAAAACAAATTAATTAACAACTGTATTTTTGTGTGCAAATCTGGGGGACATAGGGATAGATTTGTTAAACACAGGAGATCTCCCGGGAAATCGGGAGACATGTCTACTCAGAGGGTAGAGGGTGCTTATGCAAGGCGCTGGGAGTTTTAAGTTTGTAGGGACAGTTAAGAGTATATTTTTCTTTTAAATGAAATGAGATTTTTCTATGCTTACGAAGAAACGTTACTAAAAGTTTGTTTTCATCTCTGAGTACTGAAACCTTAGAAAAGTTAGGGTGCGGCCAGAGTGCACTCAGATTCAGATTCAGATTCAGATTTCGAAAACAAGCGCGAGAAATAAACAGTGTAGTCGAAGGGTACGGCCAGATTGCACTCCTGATTCAGATTCAGATTCAGATTCAGACTCAGAAAACAAAGCGCGAGAAAAAGCAGGCAACCTGCTTAGACTACACTGTTTATTTCTCGCGCTTGTTTTCAGAATCTGAATCTGACTCTGAATCTGAGTGCACTCTGGCCGCACCCTTAGTTCCTTGAGGTTTCTCAGAGGTTGCCATCTGTTCATCGTATGTGAAGAACGTCAAAAGCTAATTGGAAGTTAAGAAAGTATAGTGTCAAAAGCTGTATAATCATTGGCTCTTTTGAATGTCAAGATAAAACTGACCAATCATAAAATATACTCATGACAGACGGCTGTTCTAGTACTTTTGGACAATGAAAACTACTTAATTTTAATGGCTGGATTCGCTGGTGATTCTGTGAAAAGTGCTTTTGTACGAACGAATTACTTAATATAATTATTTGCTATTTCATTTCATTACATTAGATGAGTTACTATAGTGCCGATTTGTTATTACAGTCAAGAGTGTTGTGTTTTTATGCAAGGAAACCCACTACGAACGTCACGTTGTTTTTGAGGTAAAATTTTCCATTAATTTTCACATTTTCATGCCTGTGTTTTGATTGAATCTATTTACTACAAATAAATTCAGCATACACAATGTTATAACGTGGTAGAAATTCAGTATATTTACTGAATACTTGATAAAAATTGTAGTAGAAAACGTCTCTCAAAAGGTCATATTTTAGTCGTATCATTATCAATTTTGTGTCAACAAACGTGTTTAATTATTGTATAATATGTTGATGTTGCTCGCTTTAAAATTTAACAAGTTTTTAGTAGAGATAACAATACCAATTTTCAATGTTGAAACAAGAACTACCTGCTAAATTTACCTTAACAAGTTTTTAAGATTTTTTCCATATCAGAAACTGTATAGCTATATAAACTTTATTTTCATTATGACCTTGAGATATGTACATTAATAGTAACCTAGTCTAATATATACATACCTACCAGTTTTCAAGTTATGCCATTGCCCACTGAGTGTCACCAATCTAACTTTAATACACAACAGACATACTTATAAATTATTCTATCAGGGGTTTTCATATTTTAGTTTATATTATTTCAGAGTCAGTGAATTGCTTTAATTATACATATATTTACATGTAATAATTGATATTGAATAAAGATTTATTATTATTATTTAAATACTATTTATACTTTATCAATGAAATACTCTTTGGAATTAAAAAAGGCTATGTATTCAAACTAGGGTTGCGGAATCTACTGTATAATATAGTATATTTAGTATAATAGATATACAGTAGAACGCCGATTATCCGAACGCCGATTAACCGAATCGCCAATTATCCGAATCGGTCCTAAGCGTAATATAAAAAATTAAAACCAAGTCATTTTTGTTTTGTTCTAATAAGTTGGAACTCGCTAAAGTCCAGCGAGTATGTTAAATACCTATATATATTTATATCAACTGTTAATGGTTGAAAGCTAGAGGCAAGACACTACATGTTTTACTGTTCTTAATTTTGTTTTGCTACTATGTACCTCTATTATTGTATCTAGTATTGTAGAACTGTGTTTGTTAAACGTAATAAAGTTTATTCTATGTGTGGCAGTTCGTTTTTCTTTATTACTTGTCTATGTCCGATTATCCGTATTTTCGATTATCCGAATCGACCCCGGTCCCAATTAATTCGGATAATCGGCGTCCTACTGTATTTAGTTATATATTTAGTATCCTACTTAAGTAGGGGATCAAATACTATATTCCTGGAAAAAAAGTAGAAGGCCAAAGTCTTGGGCCCTTGAAGTACAGTTTCACCATATTTCCTATTACTTGTTCCGAGTTATTCTAAATTATAACATTCCCTTTATTGAGGAGATTTTTATGTACATAGTAATTTTCATTTCACCATTTATTGACCAGCATCTATCTCCTATCAATGTCATAAAAGTGCTACAACATCTTGGTCACACTGTAGTATGACACTCAAAAGAATTAAATAACAAACTATGAATGTCAAATTTGAAGGATTTTACTGACTTCACTTGATAGAGACCCACAGGCTTACTAAGTTAAGAGTTAGCTTGAATTAGTTACTTTATGTTTAATAAATTACAAATGGCACTTGAGTGATATGAACAAAATACGGTGTAACTAGTCTCAGAAAATTTTACTTATTAATAAAAAGAAAATTTACTTTTTGTCTTTTCACTTTTAAACAGTTATTTTTGCAATGAGGGTTTATGAGAAACTAAAATTATTTATTCCAAATCTTTTATGTGGGTAATGATAAATCTTAGTAATATTTTTAATGTCAACATACGGTTTATACAGAAAGAGGAGATTTTATCTTATTTTTTAAGGAATATTTAAAATTAAAATAAAAAACATGACAACTAAATAAACAGCACTATTAAATATTTTGTTTAATTTATATTTTATCGCAATTATATTGTTCACTTGGTAATTTTTTTAAACAGAAATGTGCTGTGAATTATAACGTGGAAGTGATAAAAGTGTTTTTAGTGAAACAGTGGTACTATTTGTCTCTTTTCAGAGTTGAAACCATAAACAACTTATGAAATTAATAGAGTGCCCTGAAAATGGAAGAAGAGCCCTGTCATAAGAAGCCTAAATTTGATGATTCGTTGGGAGATTATAAAGTTATAGAAAATTACATAGAATATATACATACTGCGACTAACAATGTCAAAGCAGTAGTAAGCGATGACTTAAGAGATCATGTGGAAACGATAACTATGTATGGTGGCAACATCAAACAACGAAAAGACATATCGAAAACTATAAAGCTCCTGAATGAAAAGCTACCATTAACCAGTTTCCAGCATTTGAAAAGGGTACGCAATGAAACCGTACTTGTTTGCCCAACGGATTCTGTTAAAGAGAAGTCTATTCAAGAATATGTCTGTAAATTTGTTCCTGAACTAACAGATCTATTTGAAAATTTCATAGAGGTAGCAGTACCAAAACATCCGGTGAAATTAAAAAAGCAACATGCAGTATTCAATAAAATATGGTCATGTAATTTCCACCCCGATGTATATTTAGAGAAACTAACCAGTAATAATTTCTTTTCTGAAAAAGAACTTCAAACGCATAAATTTTACATGACTTTAAATTTGGAGATAGCTTTGTGGTATTTCAAAACCTCAAATCTAGATGTAGTTACAGAAGATGTTTTTGCTTGCTTAAATGTGGCTATTGTTGTTGATCCCAGCATCGATTCCATAGTTGCTGTTGGCATAGACAACAGTTCTTCACATCCTATCCAACACGCAACAATGGTATCAATAGATAATGTTGCTAAAACACAAAAAGGGGGTGCATGGATTGACAGAGCCAAAGAAACGGATGGCTCTTACATACACAATGGTGTAGACAAAAAGTTATTAAACTATTTATTGAAAAAGTTTCCTGTAATCAAAATTGGAGCGAAGAAATATTTAAGCAAGACAGATTTGATTGATGATGAGAAAACAACCTCCGATGGGCCATATCTGTGTACGAACTACTATGTTTATGTGTTAAGGGAACCGTGTATAATGTGTGCCATGGCGTTAGTTCATTCTAGAGCCAAGAGAGTGTTCTTTTGTTTTGAACGACCAGAGACCGGTGCGTTGAAATCTAAGTTGAAACTCCACACTGTGTCTTCTTTGAACCATCATTACGAAGTGTTCACTGGTTTTGTATAATAACAAGATTATGTAAATGTGTGTCTAAAGTACATTTTATATAAATCATTTTTTATACAAATTCGCTGACTTTTTCTTTGAGTTACTCTTCTCCTGTCTGTCTGTTACTTGCTAGAAATCTCAAGATTATTGGAATCCTTATTAATACTATATATAAGAAAGTGTGTTGGTTACACTTTTACACTGAAACTACTGAATCGCTTGTAGTGAATTTTGCTCTAGACATAGATAGGAGACAGTTATAAGCTACTTTTTGTCGTGAAAATGCAACCTGAAGGGGGTGAAATGGGGGATGAATTTTGTATGGGAAGCCAATCAAATCACGCAGACTATGTCGAATAATGTAGAGGACTTATTACGTATTGTTAAGATCTTTCAATCGAGTAATCATGTTTGAATATTTTTTGGATTTTGAAAACAATCCTGTCTTTTTTCGTTTTTACGGTTCCGTATCTCGAAAGGAGAAAACGCGTCCGTCCGTCCGTCTGTCAAGACCCTTTTTCTCAGGAACGCGTGGAGTTATCGAGCTGAAATTTATATCAAATACTCAGGTCTACTGTCCCTTGGACATACAGCCGTTTATGCCGCAAATTACCAAAACTCGCAAGGGAATCAAAACCTACAGGGTACGTCCCGTGAACTCAGAATATTGATATTTGGTACGAAGCAACTTTTTATAGTTCAGACAAAGGAAAAATTGTAAATATACCTATAGGGATGATGACTAATTTTTTTTTCTTCGTTTATCAGGTAGATTATCAAAAAGCATTGGACACGTATTTTTTCTTTTTTCACACAATATAAACATTGCAGAGATATATGGATTTGAAAAGTCGCATGGCGTCACGTTTGAGTACACTTATAAGTGAAAATTCACTCAACAGTGACGTCACGAGCCCCTACTCCCAAACTTTGACGCGCTATAACTTTGTCATTTTTTGGTTGATTGCCCAAAGAAAAAATACGTGTCCATTATTTTTTGATCATCTAACTGACGGACTAAATAGAATTTCGTTTACTGTACCCCGTCATCGCCCCCATTATACGGGTTTGTAAGGAACCCTCGGTGCGCGAATCCGACTCACACTTGACAGTTTTTTTTTATTATTATGTTACCTGCCTAGTCATTTCTAAAGTCACAACACGTCGCATCGCAGCACATTGTAGTACATTTGGCTCTCATTCACCACAAAGTCCTTTGCATAGCTGCACCCTTCAAGCAATTACGTATTATTATGTATGTATTTGTATAGAGTAGAAACATATACAATACACCAGAATCCTATAAACCGCAGACTACACCATACATTGATGTCCATCCTTAATCACTACATAGTATAAAACAAAGTCGCTTTCTCTGTCCCTATGTCCCTTTGTATGCTTTATCTTTGAAACTACGCAACGGATTTTGATGCGGTTTTTTTTAATAGATAGAGTGATTCAAGAGGAAGGTTTATATGTATAATACATGCATAATATAGTAGAGAAACAATGATAATTTTAGAGGTTTTTAATGTAAGGTCGTAAATAAACACATTTTTTGCGCTTACATTGCAAACGCTGGCTGAACCCCACGAGATAGATCAAAATAATGTACTACAGTATTGTACACCTTAAAAAGGTCTACAAAAAAGTCCGCGATGGTATATGTCTATCTCTTAAGGATAACCCACTGTAACCAATTTTTATCCTATACTTTTTACGAGAAATAATAGATTATTTACGAAGCGATTTTAAGCAATATAACATTCATCCTTATCCAATTCAGTACCTTAAATACATTGTGCATTTAATATAGAACAATTTGGCCCTTTAACGCATATAATTTAAATGAATATTTTCGAAGATATTACAAATTTAAAATTCAGGGACATAGCGGTTCCGACGCTACCGGGCTTGGCGGCGCGTGCCTATTGTAATTGGGTATTAGAAGAATGTCATTGTGTATAATACAAGCCTGAGAACAAAAACTATAGTCTACACTACAGCTTTACACCGAAGCGAAGCGAGGGCGGGCCACTAGTTTAGTATGAGCCAAGGTTATTCTGATTATGACACAATATATAGTCGTGGCACGAAACCACGGTAATATTCATCATCATCATCAACAGCCTATCTTACTCCACTGCTGGACATAGGCCTCTCCAAATGCACGCCACTTAGATCGATCTTGGGCTACTCGCATCCAGCTCCTGCCAGCCACCTTGCGCAAATCGTCACTCCATCGCGCCTGAGACGTCTCTGAATATGTACCTCTTGTCCGTCATGATGAAATCGATCTCATTTTTAGTCATAGTGTCGGGGCTTTGCCACGTCCACTTTCTTTGGGGCTGTTTCTTGAAGAAAGAGTTCATCAAGAAGAGTCCCTCCCGTTCGAGGAAGTTGACGAGCATTTGCCCCCTAATGATTTCTGCTTCCAAATCCATGGGGTCCACGGTAATATTATCTATACAGTATTGTGACTGGGCCCTGTCCTTGAAATAACTACCTACGGCCACGGTAATAATATATACAGTATTCTATCTTCATACAAACGGTCGGAAAGCGAATCATACCTACGACTCTCGGGGGACACTCAGTCGCGAATGCGCCGCAGCGACGACCGAACGGTGTGAATTGTTTTTATGCAGTTAGCCGTGCTTAAACGTGCGTTTTGTATTGTAAATATTTGATTGAATTAAGTAGATACCTACATAATTTAATATGGCAAAGAACAAACGACGATATTGTGCTGTTTTTGGTTGCTTGAACTCTTTAATAACGCACCCAGAGATATCATTTTTTAAATTACCTGAAATATTGAAAAGGTAATACTATAGAATATTTTTTTATATACCTATCTACTATGTATTTATATTATCACTTGACATTGGCGGAGCTGTGCTAAGTCACAACGCAAGCCATCATAAAAGAAGAAGAAGAAGGTACGGATTTGTTTGTTGTTGTGATTTCTTGCGGTTTTTTGTATTTAATCAGGTCTAAAAAAATGGGTGCGTGTACTTATGTAGGCGCGTGAGAAGTTATCCTTCTTTGGCATCGTTTAAAATTAGTTTTTAATTGCATGCAAATAATTAATTACAATAAATTAATAAAACGTCTGGAAAAGGACACAGTCAATAAAGTTCAGTTTTAATTTGAAAAAATAAATAAGTAATCAAAATATTCAATTAAAATCGCTACTGAATATAATTTATTAGAACATATGTGATTTGCACTTGTATGAAACTCAAACACGTATTCCGAATATACAAACTAGAAACATGTGGATAAATATTATAAATATGAATACCTATAACTGTTACTTTATTACAAAAAATAAAGATGTGGTTTTTGGTTCTACTACACCAATGGTCAAGAGATGGCGCTGTAGTCTCCTGAATCGCGCTTTGGTTCCGTTGTTCCAGATTAATAAATACTTTTGATAGGCCTTCACAATGCAGTCGTTAGCACCCACTAAATAGAGATTCTATTTCTATTTTGTGGGTAGATTTTCTTAATGTGCGGTAAACACAAAAGTAACAAAAGTTAAAATTTTGTGTTACAGTGATGCGCGCGCATCTTAAAATTTCACTCTCATCATTTTTTCATAACGCGCCTAAAGAAGTATAACTTCAAAAAGGGGTAAAACCTTACAAATACGGTAGAAAAGCACTAAAACGCCCTCAAATCTAAATCCCATTCTCTTTCCGCACAGACTCTAGCAAAAAATGTCTGGGATTTTGTTTCTTCTTATCAAGAAAATGGGTATGGCGATATGCACTATGTCTGCAACTTTACAGAATATGTTGATGAATGGGATTCGTGATATATTCATACTGTCACTTACGCTCTGCGTGCCCAAAACTTACGAGCATTATTAGGCTGTTCTATGCGTTCACTCCCCTCATTGTTAAATTGACGGGGCAATGCAATCCAGGCACTTGATTTAAGCATTGCGCCCGCGTCGGTCATATTTACCATCCACGTCCTGATTAAATCAGTTTTTTCGGTTATAACATTTTCGACTCTGAGGTCTGGTCTGGCCATTGTGGACTGATGAAGATGGGGTTTCACAAATTTCTCGTGGAATACGACGTGTTTTGGTGAGTCCTGAGTTTATCTCACACTTTTTTTCCCCCAACTTCCTACAATATCAGGTCCTCTAAAAGGATCATTTTAAAATAGATAAAATACCCAGAGGTCTCTGTTCTAACCTCTGTAATAACACTTACCTTCTCTAAGAAATAATAATAATAGGGGTGATGACGGGGTACAGTAAACGAAATTCTATTTAATCCGTCAGTTAGAATATCAAAAAATAATGGACACGTATTTTTTCTTTGGGCAATCAACCAAAAAATGACAAAGTGCGTCAAAGTTTGGGAGTAGGGGCTCGTGACGTCACTTTTTAGTGAATTTTCACTTAAAAGTGTCCCAAAACGTGACGTCATGCGACTTTTCAAATCAATATATCTCTGCAATGTTTATATTATGTGAAAAAAGAAAAAATACGTGTCCAATACTTTTTGATAATCTACCTGATAAACGAAGAAAAAAAAAATAGCCATCATCCCTATTGTATCGGCGTTATGCGTACTCTTCAATAAAGCTCAGTTATTTCTTGAATAATGCGTATATTGCGAATATAATTACAAAATAAATGAAAAGGAAATTGCGAAAGAAAGTTGAGCGTACAAAAATTTGAATTCCGTAGAGATTGACAAGTGTGGAGGATGGATTAATGGATGATATTAGAAGAAACACGCTGTGCCTGGTTTGAGCATTACCAATGGCTCACCAGTTACACACTAGTTCGAACTAAACCCATCCACCAATAAATCTTAGTAAAACGATCCTGACGTTGTGAAACCCAAACTACGCCATCCTGACCGCTTACTACATTGAATTAAGAGCCATATTCGCTTGTAGCGACTTCATGGTGTTTGTTGGTCAATTGTGAAATATGTCTCTTCCTTCCACGTGTCTAGCTTCTTTAAATGGTCGTTTCTAGTCATTAGTATAGACAAGGACTTGTTTTGTATTACATTGTACGTCACTTTTATAAGTATGAAATCTTAGATTTAATCCTGTAGATTTTAGAAAATTCTATCCCTAGGGGCCATTCGCCTAACGGAAATGCTTTGGAAAACGCTAACGCTTTCGATTTCATTTTGTTGTTTCTAGCTGCCTGAGATTTACAAATGCCTCGCGCTCTTTTTTTTTCTTTTGCATTGGTAATAATAATATTTAAAATAATGAGCGTGAGGTATTTGAAAACCTTCGCCGGTCAGAAATAACAAAATAAAAACGAAAGCGTTAGCGGTTTCCAAATCATTTCTGTTAGGCGAATGGCCCCCTGGGTGGGTAAAAATGTGGATGAAAGTTTGTATGAAAATTGTATTTCTTGGGTTTATAGACTTGAAACTTGGCACGAATACTAATCTAAATAAATTATAAAGTTTGTAATTTTTAGCTTTCCTAAAATACCCTCTAAAAGGGGATTGGGAGAGTGTCGAAGTTTTTATATGGTTTAATTTTAACGCGCATCACGATTAACTCGAAACTTGGCAATTTACTAAAGACCAAAAATAAAGAAAGGGTAAAATAAGAGATGAAAGTTTGTACGAAAAATCTTATTATTTGAGTTAATACAATTAAAACTACGAATACTTCTCTAAATAAATAATAAAGTTTGCCATGTTGGGTTGCCATTGGAGGGGTTTTTTAAAGAAATAAAGCGTGTGTGTCTCTGGACCCTTGACAGAAGTGATAACTTATCTAATCTAAGCGGCGCTGCGGGTAAGAGGGAGAGAGAAAGAGCCTGCCTACCGCGACCGTATGCATGAGAGGAAGGGAAGCCTGACGAACTGGCGCCGTAACGCGTTACGTAACGAAGAGGCTTACTCTCCCTTAGGAAATTATCACTTCAAAAATAGTTAGTCGTCATTCCTATGATGCTGTTTACTAAATAGGCTTCACTACAAAAAGTTAAACTTGGACTAAAATTTATGTTGACACTTTTGTTTTGCATAAAGGAAGACAGAGCCAACACCAAGACAGGACCAAGAGTAACTTTAGTCCGCGCTTTGTAGTAAGACGGAATAAGTTTGCGACTAGGGTTACCATCCGTCCGGATTAGTCCTGACATGTCCAGATTTTTGGAGTTTACTCCTTAAGAATCGATTTGCATATATAAGGGGCCCGGTATGAGAAAAATGTGAGGAGTAAAATCTATCGGTGAATGACCTCGTTACGTTTTTGGTGCGCATCCTATGTCGCGCAACTTTGACAATCAAAGATGACGGATTGACATTAACATTTTTTTTTAAATCTGAACTGAATTTAGATATTGTTTCTGATAGAGCAATGGGGACAACGAGGTATGGTACAACCATTGATGCGGTATTTTTAAGATTCGTGAACCACGTATCTACGAACGTCCATGTGTCTTATTTTAGTTACCATAAACCACTTGTCACTGTAATTAATAATGCAGACAATGTTGATTTAATTAATATTTAAAAAAATGATAATAGTTACTACATAATTTATCAACATTCCTAATGATATATTTATGCACATCTGAAATTGACTATTGTAAAAAGTTTAATGTAAAATATTTCGTCGATTAGTTATAATAAATGTATATAAATGAAAATAATATACAAATATAAATATATATTTTATATATGTATATTATTTTCATTTATTTGTTAATTTACCCTTTCATACAGTATCAATCTTTTTTAAGTTAAATAAACTCTTGCGTCTGGTTAGACTATCGAACTTAAGGAGTAAACTCCAGTCGTGCGTCGGAGCTCACACACACATTTTTTTTTGACTCTAATCCGGATATTTTCCGGCCCTTTAATTTGTCCGGATTTATTTTCGCAATGCGAGTGTCTGTGCCTTGACGCCGACCATAGCAATGTTTTGAAGTGAGTAGCTATTGTATCCGTTTTGTGACTAAAAAGTCCAAGACTTTTATCGAACTATCAGGCCAAAAGGCAAGACTTTTCAAATTCCTAAATGCTAATTGATTTGCGACCCTCTGTTCTAAACGACTCGTTCTCTTTCTTCCCCAGAAGCAGCACATCTACCAACAAGACTGAACAGTGTCTTATTACAGAAGAGAGATAGACCGAGCTAAACCAGGCGTTGAAAAGGGACGACAACACGTTCCTACTTGCGCCTTCGTAAATTACATTGATGGAAATATTTGTCAGCGTCAATTGGATGATACTGAGAAAGATAACTTGTACGAAACGCAAGGGCTACTGAGAGTGGCCGATTTTGTGCAGTTTCCGGCCGTCACGGTGAATGGTGAGTTAGTGTTTTATACGCAAATTTCACTTTAGCTATACATGAAAATAGAGATACCCTCGTGAAAACAAATTGATTACTTTCCTTTCCTTTACTTTAAAGTTTAAATAAATGGGACTAACTTCTTAGCAATCCATGGATTCACCGTGCGGGTGCCGGGTCCATCGTGTGTAGGGTTACCATCCGTCCGGATTTTTTTAATTAGTTGGAATATGGGTAAAACTACTTATTAAGTTATGTCAAATAAGTCAAATAATCTTTATTAAGTTCTCATTAATTTTGAACAAAATAGAAATTTATTTTTAATAATCAACAACGAGACCCTCCTCGCGATGCGAGCGTCTGCTACCACGCGTATAATATCACTGTAAGTAAGTGGGTGATGTTTGCATTTTGTGACTAAAATGTCCGGACTTTTATCTAAAGGTCCGGCTTTTTGTCAGGACTTTTCAAAATTCTAAATAGTAACCCTAATCGTGTGGGATAGAGAGAAACTCTGAGCAGTTTCCAGGACTTGCGACCCAGCTGTAGGTTTAAGGGCCCCCTTTGAGATACGCATCAACGCTCACCTTCACTGCTCGAGTCGCCCGCCCTAGGCTTGTTGAAAATATATCGATGTATCGATATATCGATATTTTTTGTTCGATATATCGATATTTTTTGCCGATATATTTTGATTCGATATATCGATACATCGATACAAAATAACCAATATCGAAATTCGTATCAAAAACGATATTTTTTTAATTATTAGCGGCATAATCACGATCTAACTAAATTCGTATCTGGAAAAATCGTAACTGGATCTCAGATTAATGATACTCAACATATCTATGATCTGTGCTGTATTTAGTATTGTCTATTTCATCATTCGAAAATAGGGTCTATTTTTAGGGAGATAATTTTCGTTCCATTATTATTGAAAATTGGTCCGATATATCGATATATCGATGTTTTTTTTCGCGATATATCGAAGCCGATATTGATATTTTTTAAAATATCGATATATCGATATTTTTTTCAACTTTCGACATCCCTAGCCCGCCCTTCCTAGCCAAATTTGATAGGAGCCTGTTACTACAGCCTTAGTTAATCGTTCCAAAATTGAACTTCCCGCAGTTCTCGACAGGCCTAAGTCTTTTAGAAGGTTATAGAGAGACTATATGACCCAGCGAACTTCAGGGGCAGGTGGTAGAAGCGAAAATGTAGGGTTGTATGTTGTTGTAGTACTCTATCAATTTATTGGGATAACATTTCTCCTAAGCCATATGAGAACACTACGTTACAATACCCAATAGTTTGAATTTGGGCGCGAAGGCGCATGGTATGTTTCAGAACACTACGTTACAGGTGGACAACCATTATCACTTAAGGATATGAAAAATAGATGTTGTCCGATTCTCAGACCTACTGAATATGCATATAAAATTTCACGAAAATCGTTGGAGCCGTTTCGGAGGAGTTTAACCACAAACACCGCGACACGAGAATTTTATATATTAGACTAGCAAACCCAGCGAACTCCGTTTCGCCACCAGATAGCTTCGTTTTATGTAACATTTCGTTTTGTGATTAAAAGAAAACGATTTTTTTTTTAATTTTTCCTGAATTTTCTTTGCTATAAACCTCACGGAGCCCGAGACCTTTCCAACGAATGCAAAACCGTGGAAATCGGTTCGTGCGTTCTGGAGTTATAGCGTCAGGAAGGAAAACCCGACTTATTTTTATATATTAGATTTTGCGTGTATACCTCTAGCTCCATACAACAAAAAGGCCTCCTCCGAGGAATTCCAAATCGATCGGTCCTGCGCTGTCCGCATTCAGCTGTTTCCCGCGACCTTCACCAGATCGTCAGTCCACCATCTTCTGCGGATCTCATAATTTCTGATTCGATCGCGCTGATAAACCCCGAGCATAGTAAATGTCGAGCATATCTTACCTTCTTATCTTAACAAATACTAAATAAATCCGCACTTAAACACATATACATAAACATACATACACACACACACACATACACCCACACATCATTTTCATACATTACATATTAATTCAAATATTATACTCATAGATGCCTTGCTTTAAAAATGACCTACTGATCTTTTCATTTATGAGATATTTATTTAGTCTAGTTTAGTATTCTCATGTCTGTGGGGGTTTATGGCGCTGAATGCTGAAATACAGGCATTGCCTAGTTCAGCAGCAGAGGCTAATAAATTATACTTTCTGTAACTAGTGCTAAGTTTGTTACGTAATCTTACTGTACTGATTTTTTTGGTCAATAAATCTTATTATTATTATATTATTATTATTATCTTTACAGTCATAATATAATTGTTCTACTTGCATCTCCCAAATTTATTAATGACCTTTAATACCATCTGAAAACAGTTCAGACACTTATTTTCCTTTAAAATCTTTCTATATAAATAAAATGCTAGCAAATTCACTTGTAGTCTATACTAATATTATAAAGCTGCCGAGTTTGTTTGTATAAACGCGCTAATTTCTGGAACCACTGGTCCGATTTGAATGATTCTTTCAGTGTTGGGTAGTCCATTTATCGAGGAAGGCTATAGGCTATATTTTTTTTTTACAAAATTAGTGGTCCGTAATTAAATTGCTATTTTATAACACAAGGTGTAAAATCGAAAACCTATTTTTGCGTGCGCTGCAAAAACTATTGACAATAGAACGAAATGATGTACAATGGGTTTGTAGATCCCATTAAGACCTACAAAAAAGTCCGCGAGAACATATATCTGGCTATCATGGTTTAATCACAATAACCGATTTTGTGTTCAAAATAATTATTAAATCGTCTGAAGAAAAAATCTACGTTAAATATGTATCGTAATATTAATCTTTATCGAAATTAAGCATTATGTTATCAAGGGTATTTATGTAGAAGTAAAATACTTTTTGTTTCATCTCAATCGGATATTTCGTTTTAAAGTTATCACGTGTGTAAGATGTTAAGAGTTGGTACGTATTAATTAGTTATGGGCCATAGAGTTTTTAATCAACATAAAATCCTGTAATAATCTTTTTCGAAATATATTTGTTGATGATTGTAAACGCGGGTGAAACCGCGGGGCACGGCTGGTTGAGTCATAAAAATAGCATAATGAAACCAATTTCTGCACACGTCGATTCTCAGATCACAGGAGAATTGGTTTGGTGACACGCGAACAGTTCAATTCTTCCCCGTAGTCGGTGTAATAAATATCAATTAAAACTGCGGGCTCGCACCGTCCGATGTACGTCATCTGCTCCCATGTGAGGGCAAAAGATTGTCTCAGACGATTATAGGCGTATTTACAAAGTAGTAAGGTTTATAGTCGCAACGATGAATCTTTTGGATAACCTCTTATGTTTGCTGCTTGTGCTCGCGTTCCTTCTGATTGATCTTAATTGATGCGCTCAACATGATCAAGTACAAAGATAAGTCAGGATTCGCGTGCGAACCAATAAAGACAATTAGGACTTAAAGTTTTTCGGAAAAGACTCTGCTGATTAATCTTATCTGTTATAATTTTTTAAAAAGTTTCAAAACTGCCACGATCAGAGACTCAACTCGCTATCCTCTTGCACCACATAAGTATAGTACGCTCCAATTGTCCTGGAAACCTTACTCACCGACAAAAACATTATTCCATCAATTCTTTTCCCATTGTACTCCGTTATAGAGAATGGTGTCGGACAAGCATATGGCCCCCCGATGGTAACCGGTTAGCGTGGCCTATCACTTGCGCCATTTCTTACATTGAGCCTGACCATGGGGTCAGACTCAGGGGATGGCCCCTACCACATACCTAGAGTCTTTCAACTGACAGGTCGTGTTTGAAACTATTGTATTTACGTCCTTATCTGGTAGTAGATATTCTGCACACTTAACCAGTTGACCAATCCACAAACCTTTGTCATGTTTAGCAGCGACCTTCACCTGTTATGTGGAGTAGTTCAACGTTGACGCTTCATCGGAGTTGAAATCATCATTGAAATCATCGGAAAAGAACTCTTCGCGTGGGTGGAACGTCCGATCTTTTAAATGGGATGGCGTGTTTGGACCTAATTTCTTTTCCTACTTCTCTCTTTGTAATCGTAAAAAACAACGTTTGTGAAAATTTAGTTGATCATGTTGAATAGGGGTGATGAAGGGGTACAATAAACGAAATTCTATTTAGCCCGTCAGTTAGATGATCAAAAAATAATGGATACGTATTTTTTCTTTGGGCAATCAACCGCGCTGTAGCGCGTCAAAGTTTGGGAGTAGGGGCTCGTGACGTCACTTTTGAGTGAATTTTCACTTATAAGTGTACTCAAACGTGACGTCATGCGACTTTTTAAATCAATATATCTCTGCAATGTTTATATTATGTGAAAAAAGAAAAAATACGTGTCCAATACTTTTTGATAATCTACTTGATAAACGAAGAAAAAAAATTAGTCATCATCCCTATTGTGTCATCTTTATAGTGAATCATGACAGTGTAGATGACTGGATAGAGTAAACGAAATTCAATTTTGTCCGTCAGTTAGATTATCAAAAAATAATAGACAAGGTCGTATATTTTCTTTTGTCGATCAATCAAAAAATTACAAGTATGGAAGGAGGGGCTCGTGAAGTAAAAATTCTGCCCTGATAAGCCAAAAAGCTGTATCTCAATCAGAGTCTTCCTACAACCTGGGATCCTTTAAAAGAGGCGTGAAGAAGCAACATGCAGGCCGGCAGGGTGAGGAAGGCTGGTGTGGTAGGTAGAACTGCTGTATCAGCTATCTTCGCGTCTGGACTTCACTTAACATCAGGTGGGGTGGAGTCATTTGTCGGACCTATCTATATATATAAAAAAGTAAGGTTTGAGATACGGCTTTTCGGCTTATCAGGGCAGCATTTTACCAAAACATGACGTCACTTGATATTTCAAATCTACATCTGTGTAATGTTGTAATTATGTGAATAAAGAACAAATAGGTGTACAATACTTTTTAACAATCTA